GGAAACTTTTTAAAATATTAATTCTGAAAAGCAAAGAATTGAATGATTTTTTTAATGCATCTGTGAGCTTTATTGTGGAAGCCCGACATCCCTGCTTTGTCACCAGTGGGGAAGTTTTTGAACCTATTTGTTTTAATGTAATCAATACAAATAAAAACACATTTACTTTTAAAGGTAGCCGTGAGCTTTATTTTGAAAGAAAACTCTTTGTCATGCCGGTGTTACGCTGAAAAACGCATCCCTGCCAAGAATTGCGTCCCATTTGGGGAACGCTTATCGTCCTAAACTCTCGAACATTGATGAGAAAACAGATTAAAATATGAACAAAAATCGAACTTTTAATTTTCATATTTCTTATGCATGGATAACTTAAAATTAAGAGTTTTGATGGACAGATAAATTCAAATTAATGTGATTATTACAGGTATGGAGACACGTTTTAGTCAATGTGCTACAGTCAGTTAGCGTCCGATGGATGGGATTACTCGCTTCGCTTCTTGCTAACAACATTCTGTATAATTTCTGACACTTTATTTCTTAAACGTAGAATGTGGAACCTGCCGAAAATTGCATCCCTGACTATTTTCACATTTATTGTCACCTGATATGAAATTCATACCACAATCACAGAATAATTCCATTATTAAAAACACATTCGTCAGGTTTTGCATTTCACATGAACAGTCTACATACTTTTTCTTTATCAAACTATGCAATTAATTGCTTTTTTAAAGTGAGAAATTGGACTTTACATCACTAATTAGTTTTAATATTAATCCATCCATTATGTGACTTGCTTGTCCTTTGTACGGTCGAGTAACAATGAGTAACTTTGTCCAACTTTAGTTCAATAAAAGACGTTGAAACGATGTCGAAAACTAGGTTTACGACGTCTTTTCAATGATCTGAAAATGACGGCTTTCCACTTTTCAACCAAATGTAGATGTTTGGAAGGAAATCATGTCGTCTTTTCATTTTCTTTCAACCTGTTTTTGCTCAGCGGGGTGCAGCTTGGCCCACTGCAAAAGCGATCTAGAAATAAGTAAAAATGTCTTAAATTAAGTGTATTCACCCTTAATTTGAGTAGGTAAATGAGATAGTTTGCCAATGGAATGAGTATTTTTACTCTTGAAATAAGATAATTAGATAATATGCACTTGAAATAAAACAATGCAATTGTGTTTTCTTATTTTAAGTCTCTTTTAACCTCCTCAA